TATACATGAACACATATGCTTATTTATATACACACCGTAAAGTACAGAACAAAAATGAATGTATATGAAGGTGCACATTAGTAATGGCAGATGGTAAAAAAGTAGAAGGATGTCAACAGCAGTAGACTTGTCAATCCAGCCTTACATGTACGAGCCAGAGTCTGACCCAGTGCAAGACACTCAGAATGACAAACCTGCAGAACCACATCTTCAAATGAATGTGTCACAATGGTGCGTTATTTACACACTCTATATCCTTACCTACACTGGGGAGCATAGCTAAACTAAAATAGATGCATTTGAACTACTATTGTATTATATAATTTACTTTTGTTATCAATAAAGTATTTTTAATTGAACAACTACAATATGCTCACACTCACTGTACACATGTGAAATTATTTCAAATAAATTGATTTATGTGCTTGACTGTTAGTTTGAAATGTGCAAAAAGCAAATAAAATGTAATTGATTTCATTTTTCATTACCAATTAGCCTATTGATTTCAATATGTCAAATCAGAACTTAAATCATAATTAAATGATCAGTCACATTCTGCTTTGGAACTGTAACTAATATTGTATGTCACAGGTCTGTGGGACAGCAAAGAACCTGGAACCCAAACGTCTAAGCCAGATAAATTTCAAACGCCACAAGGCAGAACATCATTTCAACTCTAACTCCAGGGCTTTAATGACAGAAGTACTCCCAAACACACCTCATCATCTTTCACACAAAGACTTCAGAGATGGTGTTAACAAAGCACAAATTCAGCCACTTTTTCTTCTCCAGAAAACACTAATTGGAAAGTGACATGATGTACTGACAACATTGAATGTAAGAATTTATGTACTTTATTACTCCTTGATAAACAATAAAAAATGTCAAATTATATTTATGGTTTTGATAAAAATCATTTTAACCTAAACTGCAATATTATATGTGTTCAATAGCTTTTTCTGTATGTGGAATGCATTGCCTTGATAAAATATGTTAGCAACAGAAGATAAAAATGGGAGCAATCAAATCAAATAAATTTATCACATACACAAAGTTCAACTTGCAGTGAAATGTTTTTATGACAAAAATTGAAGTTTAAAAGTACACAGAACACAGTAAAAATCCTGATTATNTTATTAAATATTTGTATTTCTATGTTTTTAATAGATTTTTCAAGTTGTTCCAATTCTTGTTTGTTAGTTTTATGCTTAAAGCTGGTAAAACTGATCATTTGGCCTCTTAAGAATGCCTTAAAGGCCTCCCATCTCACAGTAGCCGAGGTTTGATGAGTGTTCAATTCAAAGTACATATCTATTTTTGTTCCAATAAATTGTATGAAATCTGGGTCCCTAAGCCAAATTGATTGTAGACGCCACTTTGATGAAAAGGAAAGATTAGGAACCTCAAGGCAGAATGACACCGACCATGATCAGATATTACTATACTGTCATGCCAACTATTAGTAATGTGTGGAACTAGATCAGCAGAGACTAAATAGTAATCAATTCTTGAAAATGTTTGRCAAGTACTAGAATAGCATGAGAAAGAAGACTGATTAAATGGACTGAACTGATTAGGATGCATATTTCTCCATATGTCAACCAAATTGAGATCTTTCATAAAGTTAAGTAATTCTTTCCTTGTTTGAGCATGAGAGATGTCTTTGCCTGTAGATCTATCTAACGTTGGTATGAGCGTACAGTTAAAATCGCCACCTATGMTGTACCCTCCAGGAAGCGACGCTATAGACAGAAACAGGTGTCTAAAAAAGGCAGGGTTATCATTATTTGCCCCATAAACATTAACCAAATTTAGTTTCACAGACAAAATCACACATTGCACAATTAGATATCTGCCATATCGATCCTCAGTACTTGATGATTTGCATGAAAATGCATTTTGTGTTCAGTAGAACGAAAGAAGCACATTTTTGAGACAAGTACTGAAGAAGTTGTTCTGATTTAAAACAGCTTAAAAACCTTTAACTACTAGTGTCCTTCAGACTTTTTGGTAGTTTTTGTAGGATTTTTGAAAAATCTTCCTTTTACTCCATGTCAACTCGTTTTGTGTTTTTTGGAGCAAACGGAACATACTTTTGAGATTTGAAGTGATGAACAGCTTCTGATTGTGAATGACCTTAAAAGTCATACATTTTAGTTTCTAGAAACTTTTTGGTAGCATTTGTAGGATTTTTGGAAAAATTTTAACTATGAAAATGCATTTAGTACAAGTTTTTTGATCATTTCTTGTAGTATTTTTTTACAGTGAAAGGAGCCCAGTTTTGAGATGAGAACTGCTCTGGTTTGAAAATAACTCCAAAATCTTAGATAAATTTTAGTTTCTTGATACTTTTTTTGCAGTATTTGTGTATGCATTTGGAAATTCTACTTTTTTAACATGAAAACTCATTTTGTGTTCAGTAGAACGAATGAAGCACACTTTTGAGACAAGAACTGAAAAAGTTGTTCTGATTTGAAACAGCTTACAAACCTTTGACAACTATTAGTTTCCTTGATACTTTTTAGCAGTTGATGAAGCTTTTTTGAAAAAAATCTTAATTTGTCCCCAAGAAAACTTATTTTGTGTTTTTTTAGAGCAAACGGAGCCCAGTTTTTAGATTTGAAGTGATGAACAGCCACTGATTGTGCATAACCTTAAAAGTCATAAATTTTAGTTTTTAGAAACTTTTTGGTAGCATTTGTATGTTTTTTTGGAAAAATCTTACATATTCAACATGAAAATGCATTTTGTGTTCAGTGGAACGAAAGAAGCACACTTTTGAGATAAGTACTGAAAAAGTGTTTCTGATTTGAAACAGCTTACAAAACCTTTARCTACTAGTGYCCTTCAGRCTTTTTGGTAGTTTTTGTAGGATTTTGGAAAAATCTTCCATTTACTCCATGTYAACTCGTTTTGTGTATTTTTAGAGCAAACGGAGCAAACTTTTGAGATTTGAAGTGATGAACAGCCTCTGATTGTGAATGACCTTAAAAGTCATAAATTTTAGTTTCTAGAAACTTTTTGGTAGCATTTGTAGGATTTTTGGAAAGTCTTACATTTTCAATATGAAAATGCATTTTGTGTTCAGTAGAACGAAAGAAGCACACTTTTGAGACAAGTTCTGAAGAAGTTGTTCTGATTTGAAAGAGCTTACAAAAACCTTTGACAACTATTATAGTTTCCTTGATACTTTTTAGCAGTAAATGAAGCTTTTTGTAAAAAAATCTTAATTTATCAGCATGAAAACTCATTTTGTGTTTTTTACAGCGAACTGAGCCCAGTTTTGAGATGAGAAATGGCTCTGGTCTGAAAAGAACTCCAAAATCTTAGATAAATTTTAGTTTATTGATCCTTATTTGCAGTATTTGTGGATTCATTAGGAAATTCTCCTTTTTTAACATGAAAACTCATTTTGTGTTCAGTAGTACGAATGAAGCAGACTTTTGAGACAAGTACTGAAAAATTGTTCTGATTTGAAACTGCTTACAAACCTGTCCTTCAGACTTTTTGGTAGTTTTTGTAGGATTTTTGAAAAATCTTCCTTTTACTCCATGTCAACTCGTTTTATGTTTTTTAGAGCAAACGGAGCATACTTTTGAGATTTGAAGTGATGAACAAACTGATTGTGAATAACCTTAAAAGTGATTAATTTTAGTTTCTAGAAACTTTTTGGTAGCATTCGTAGGATTTTTGGAAAAATCTTATTAACTATGAAAATGCATTTTGTKGAAGTTTTTTGATCATTTTTTTGTAGTATTTGTAGTACTTTTTTACTGTCAAAGTAGCCCAGTTTTGAGATGAGAAGTGGCTCTGGTTTGAAAAGAACTCCAAAATTTGTGGATTCATTAGGTAATTCTACATTAAATTCTTTAATTTAATTTAATTCTACATTTAAAAAATCAGATTATATAAGCTCTACTTTTAACGTGGTTTGGACCAGGTTAGTTTCAGAACACTTATTACCATGTAAACATTTGTGCTGCCTATTTTGTGCAACCAATTCCATGCTTAATTAATCCAAGTTTACACCAAACCCCAGCTTTTTTCCTTATCCTAGTTTTTTGCAATAGGCCCCAGATCTGTTTTTTTTTTGTTTGTTTGTTTCCTATCAACAAAATATTTTATTTATAACGACCATTCTACTGATGTTCCTGAGCTGTAGGCAATAAGTCAAAAAGCAGTGTATTTAAGATAATTTGGAAACGGGTTCAGTGGTGCTACAAGTTTATGCTTATGAAATAATTTCAGCAACTGGCCCGCTATTATTTGACACACACTTACACACACCCAGCAGCTCTGTTTGTATATCCCCCTTTTCAGTTGTCTCTTCATTATACGTAGACAGGTGGTCTATACACGGTGAAGATTGTAGATGTCATCCTAAAACCCACATGGCTATTTTGCATTATTTAAATGTTTCTATTTTATATCTATAGAGTATTGTATTGGTTTTATTTTTTGTATTTATGTCTTGTGTTCAGTGCTATATTTTACTGTTTATTCATTTATGAGTAAGGCATGTCAGTTGTTTTTTGATGTGCTATATTTGAGAAAGTAAGATTTGATAACAGGCTTCGAGAAACGTTCTATTGCATTTTCAACGCACACCATTTTCTCGTAGGAAAAACTTGTCTGGTGTGCACACATTTATTTGATCCCCCTGTTGAGATGGAGGTTTTCTGTTTTTTTATTGCTCGGTCAGGGTCAAACCAACCACGTTGGTCAAAGGTTTAAACCAAGATTGAAATGCAAACTGTTAGTACTATATGCATTTGTGATCAGTCATAGCTTCATCCACACCATATTTTCTGTCAATATTTTAAAAGCAAAATATATTGTAAACAGCCAGCCAATTTTGATCAAGACATGATAGATTATCATGATGACTTTAGTTTCAGAATCATTGGACCTCTAAAACTGATTACCTTACAGAGACTGACTCTTAGCTGATGATAATTACTGAGCAAAAAAAGACAGTTAAATTCTGCTGGAGAGAAAGACCAGGTTGAATATTCATATTTTATTAACATGAAATAAAGAAATCAAGTGGAAAGTAAAACTCATTTTGACAGCTGGCTGAAAACGAGTGAAAAATCAACTAAAACACTTTTGAGTCCTTCAGACACTTTTCATTTACTAAACCTATTTTGGGTGTAGTGATAAAAACCACTGACAGTTCCAGTAAACAGAACAAATCTACTGATTTAAGAATCCTTCCTCTGTAATCACACTGAAAACAAATTTCCTTAATTCTCAACTTACAGAACCTAAACTCCAAATTATCTTATTGTCACAGTAAAAAAAAAAAAGTCTTAACAGAAGGAAGTTTCATCAAAAATATTTTGCAATCATGCTATTATCATCTAACCTGAGATTCAACAGAAATATTAATTCTAACCTGGCCACACAGAACCAACCAGCAGGTCCTCATGGTTAGAGCCTACAGTTAGCATGGTATTTTAAGAGAACTATTCCACTTGAAGGTGAAGGCTTTGCAGAACACGGCGAGTCCAGAATCAGTGTGAAAGGGCAGCGCTCACTCTGGGATGGCAGGAGGCCAGTCCACATCTACAGACTGAGACAGCAAAGACAAATCACCATGTGAGAAGTTATCATTCATCATCGTTCATCATTATACTTTTACTTTTAAAAAGCAGTTTAAGCCAGTAAATCAATAAGTTTCACTTTGTGTTGTCTTTACACGAGGCCTACACACACTCCGTTTGTCCCACCTCCACATCTAGCTCCAGGATGTTCGTGTCCGTCTTCAACAGCTGACACAGGTTTGGTTGGGTTCGGCCAAAGTCTCCATGGACAAACTCTTTAATATAGCTGCATTCGATCATTAAGAAACATGTCAGGTTTATTCCAAGTTTATAATTACAGAAATTTAATGCTGAGTGCTAAATGATTTCGAAAATTTGATAAAGCTGAAATAAGCAGAACGAAAAGATTATAATCTAAAAGCTTAAAGTAGCTAAAAATTAACAGGAGTAAAACATTTGCTTAAAGCTGACTGCTGTCCAGAAGGCCATCATTGACACCCTCAAGCAAGAGGGTAAGACACAGAAAGACATTTCTGAACCAATAGGCTGTTCCCAGAGTGCTGTATCAAGGCACCTCAGTGGGAAGTCTGTGGGAAGGAAAAAGTGTGGCAGAAAACGCTTCACAATGAGAAGAGGTGACTGGGCCCTGAGGAAGATTGTGGAGAAGGACCGATTCCAGACGATGGGGGACCTGCAGAAGCAGTGGACTGAGTCTGGAGTACAAACTTCCAGAGCCACCGTGCACAGGTGTGTACAGGAAATGGGCTACAGGTGCCTCATTCCCCAGGTCAAGCCACTTTTGAACCAGAAACAGCAGCAGAAGCGCCTGACCTGGGCTACAGAGAAGCAGCACTGGACTGTTGCTCAGTGGTCCAAAGTACCTTTTTCAGATGAAAGCAAATTTTGCATGTCATTCAGAAATCAAGGATCCAGAGTCTGAGGGAAGACTGGGGAGAAGGAAATGCTAAAATGCCTGAAGTCCAGTGTCAAGTACCCACAGTCAGTGATGGTCTGGTGCCATGTCAGCTGCTGGTGTTGGTCCATGTGTTTTATCAAGGCCAGGGTCAATGCAGCTATCAGGAGATGTTGGAGCACTTCATGCTTCCATCTGCTGAAAAGCTTTATGGAGACGAAGATTTCATTTTTCAGCACAACCTGGCACCTGCTCACAGTGCCAAAACCACTGGTAAATGGTTTACTGACCATGGTATTACTGTGCTCAACTGGCCTGCCAACTCTTCTGACCTGAACCCCAGAGAGAATCTGTGGGATATTGTGAAGAAAAAGTTGAGAGACACAAGACCCAACACTCTGGATGAGCTTAAGGCCGCTATCGAAGCATCCTGGGCCTCCATAACACCTCAGCAGTGCCACAGGCTGATTGCCTCCATGCCACGCCACACTGAAGCAGTCATTTCTGCAAAAGGATTCCCCACAAAGTATTGAGTGCATAACTGAATATTATTATTTGAAGGTTGACTTTTGTATTAAAAACACTTTTCTTTTATTGGTCAGATGAAATATGCTAATTTCTTGAGATAGGGATTTTTGGTTTTTCTTTATTTTTTTTGCTAAAATCATCAATTTTAAAACAATAAAAGGCTTGAACTACTTCAGTTGGTGTGCAATGAATCTAAAATATATTAAAGTTTATCACAATATGCTAATTTTTTGGGAAGGACCTGCATATATCCATCCATCCATTATCTATACCCGCTTCTTCTTTTCAGGGTCATTGGGGGTCACTGGTGTCCATGTCCAGCAGTCACAGTGTGAGGGGCAGGGCACACCTTGGATAGGTCGCAAGTCCATCACAGGGCCAGACAAACGAGACAGACAACCATTCACTCTCTCACTCACACCTAGGGACAATTTAGAGTTATCAGTTAACCATCATGTCCTTTGTCTATGGGATTCTTCCGGAGTGCCCTGAGAGAACCCATGCAAGCATGAAGAGAACATGCAAACTCTACCCAGAAAGGTCTGAAGGCCATCAGTCATTTTGACAGATTGCAATTAACACCCCTGACCTCTTAAGTCTTGAAGACTTTATAAATAAGCCAGATGTGGTGGAGGAAACAAAAATCAAAGAGGCTTCACAAGACTGCAAGCTCTGTGGCATCACACTCACACAGAGACATTTTCAGCGAAGGTGCACATCACGGAGGTGTTATTTAATCTAAAATAAATAAAAGATGCCCATCTGATCATCATCTCAGATATAAACACCATACTGAATGCATCTCCAGGAGCTGACAGCGCATTGAAAAGTTAAGGACAGGAGGCTTTGGAGTGCATCTGTGAGGCACAGTTTTTAGGTCTGTTGTTTGGACTTATCAAACAGGAGACTTGCCTGGGAAAATTACGGTAAATAAAAAATAAATAAAAAATTATCACTTTCACAAGATGGAGAAACACATTTTTTTTAAGTGCAGATACGTCCCAGCCTGAGTCTTCAGTCCCAGGTAGAAGTGGTGACAGTCCACATAGCGGGTGTTCATGCTGTGGATGACTCTCTGTCGGATGGCTAGCGCCCGTCGGTGTAAAACCCTCAGAGGAGTCTTCTGATCCAGGGTCAGATCCTGAGAAAAAAAACAAAACAAACTAAAATCTTTGAATTTAAAGTTTTTTTTCTTCCCTTTTTTCAGAAACAAAGAAATATAAAAGACCAACAATCACAGTTGAACTGGAGCCCCATTTAGGATTTTTTTCAAGAGGTGAGCCCAACATGAAAATCATCTCCATCGTCAAGCACGAAGGTGGAAACATGATTTGAGGCTGTTTTTCTGGACTAGACCTTCTTCCTTCAGCCAAAACATCTTCCCTGAAGTCAAAACGACAGTGTAGCAAGTGAATACTCTTTTAACCTGTTGGTGCACCATACCAGCTTTGCTGATAATTTTTATTCACCCTCTTTAAATCACTCATATACAAAAGTGTGAGATTGATTAGCCGTGAACTCTTCCCATATGCATGAATACTCAATAATAA